TGACCTTTTAAGACCATAAAACTTGTTCCTTCATCTCTATTCCTACTCCATGCCTGGTACTCTCTATTCAGCCACCCCTATCAAAAATCTAGAAAACTTTTTCAGCAATTCTCCGTTTGTCTCCCAGATATTTCTGAAAGCCATCTCTGAATCTCTGCCATCAGTGTTATCATTTAAAACCTCTTCATTTCTCAACTGGAGTCTCACCTCCCTAACTGACCTTCCTGTCTCTAGTATCTCCCTCCACTCTAGCCTACATAGCGTTGTCAGAATGCGAGCATTTCCAACTGGCAAATGTGAGCATTTCACATCTGTTTAACTTCCTTTCAGGTTACTTTTCGGTTGCCAGCTTAATACATCCTGGAGTGGTTTACAAGCCTTTCTGTGATTGCTCTCTGCCTACCCTCCTGCAACGAACGGCCCTAAAGCGCCTGATGTTACAGCCATACTTAACTGATGACATTTCTCAACATGTAACTTTCTTCTACAACACCGTCTCTTTACACATGCTGGCTGCTTTGCCCTACTCCATCCTTTCATTCAGGCTAATTCTTATTCATTGATCGAGATTCTGTACCAAAGTTACCTCCTCCTTTGTGAAAACCGTCACTGACCTCCAGTGATAAAGTTAAACACCTCTCTTCTCTAACCCAGTGCTTATCAGACATTGCTATATTACACCACTCATCCTACACATTTGTATACATACATCTACCTCCCCTACCTATGAGTTTCTTAAAGAAAAGGAACGTGTTTTACACATCTTCATAGTCTCAGTACCTGGAACGTCAGCTTGTGGAACAAAAACTAACAAAAAATACCTCATATAGGTATTAGGTATAGAGGGTACCAGGCATGGAATAGGTATAGGTATAGATATAGAGGGTACAAGTTTTATGGTCTTAAAAGGTCATCGTATTGCTTATACCGAAGATCACCCTGAGGTTCAGTTATTCACTTATAAGAAGCCGTGGCTTTGTATCTAAAATGCGCCATGCCTACTCTCTATTTATAATCAAGTCGCTAGAAAAAGACATCGTACCCATCCCATTTTTGAGTGGTGAAATGGCCTCCGTATTCTCCCTCGGAACACGCAGGGCATTGGTATCTATGTAATAGGTGGGGCCGCCTTGTTTGCCTTTATCGCCATCTATTTCCATCAGTGTGCTTCCATCATCTCTTTCTAGCACCATTCCGATGGCTGTGGGGAAATCCACCTGTAAGAATCAAAAACATGACATACAAGTTTTACCTGCTTTAATCAACAAGTCATTTTTACCCCAACTAATGTCTTTTATCATATATGAGTGAGAATTTCTGCACCAACTTGATTCTGCATGGCCTTTACATATCCAATTAACTCTGACATAACACTTACCTTGGGACAGTCCTCACCAGCATAACCGGCTCTCACAGTATAGGACCCAATGTCAAAAACAAGGGCTCCAACTTCATCTGAAAAACGTGAAACAATAATTAACATTAACATCTCACAACTTACATATGAAAATTAAGAGCATTAACATGCTTAAAATGATAACATGTGAAAGAAAGCTCTATAAAAATTAAAACAGGCATTACATTCATAGTATTAGTACCTTGAACCTAGTTTTAATCTATATACACATTAAACTAACGATTTATTTAATTTAAAAATCCAGTGTCATACATGGTATATCAGTAGAGGTTCACTCAGGAAAGAGGTGGTACACTAAAATTTAATAATTTGAGGAGACTTTACTCATTAAAAGGACCATTTACAAAGACAAGGGACGATTTAGGAAAACCAGAAAAGAGAGTGGGGTACCCGAGGACTAACAGTAACAGACATATATTGCCATCCGTAGAATTGAAGAAACAGGGAAACTTCTTCCAGAACCTGGAAAGAGCTGTGCTGGGAGTGCTACCTGACAGAACCTGTGACTTTCAGTTGAGGGATGCAGTCAGTCTTGGCTGACCCTGAGGAGAAGGAGCTAATAAATATGCCAAGTTCTCTCTTTCCCCTCCCCATGGGCTAGGGTTATCTTGTGATATCTCATCCAAACTGTGCAACTTGTGTATATGAAAGGGGTCCCTACTAAGAATTGTACCAGGACAAGAGGCAAAGCAGGAAGTATGGTTACCCTATCATTGGCCAAACCAGAGGTCAAGAGAGCCCGCTGATGCAGTCTACAAGGGTCAGTCTTCTAGGGCACAGAGAAGATGGAAGTGGGTGGAAAATGGATCTGGAGGGCAAAGGGAAGAAATACAGTACACTTAGGTACCTTTTTTCATATGTTAAAGGAAACTGTATTCCATGCTATGAGGGAAAAAACTGAGCAAAAGCCCCTAGAAAAACAGGGACCCTGAATAATAATAAGCCAAGTGACAATCATTAAAATGAAGGTATCATCGAATATGCACAATTCAAAGATTTTTAGGAGATAAAGTTATACGCTGAGCAAGAAAGTGGGTAATTTTTTTTCACATCCAAATTCAGAGAACAGCCTCTAATTATACTTAAAAAAATTTTAACCCAAAACAGCACACCTCCTAATAAAAGCACTTGGGTTTGCAGGAACCAATTTTTCAAAGGAGGATTTACTCAATCATTAAAAATAATAAAGAAATACTACTTACCCCCATTAAATTGGCAAAAATTAATAAGTTTGGTAATACTAAATGCTGTCACAGATGTAAGGAAAGAGATTTTATACATCTGCTTATAAAAACCGTAAACTGGTACAACCACTATGGACAATATAATCATATCTACTAAAGCTCAAAATGTGCATAAACAGAAATTACACATATCTTCTCTAGCAAAACACTGTTATATATACTATAAAAAGAAACCAGAGAAACCTACCAGAATGCTCACTACCTGTATGACCTTGGATGATTTACTAACCTCTCTGCTTCGGTTTCCCCATAGGTAAAATGTATATAATAATTCCTATCTCACAGGATGGCATAATGATTACACGTGTTAAATGCTGTAATGTATATAAGCACTTAGCATAGTGCCTGGCACATACTAAGCACAATAAGTAGTAGTTACTATGATAATTATTATTGTCACACTGCTTTCCATGAGAAAAAGGCAGAAATAACCTAATCGTCTTTTAGGGAAACAGATAAACTAGCTTATTAATACACTGAAATACTATACACCATTTAAAATGAGTAGTCTTGATCTATATGTATCAACATGGATAAATCTCAAAAAAATGATCATTGTAAAAAGTTAGTTACAAAATATATATATGTATATACATTATGAGATTATTTAATTCATTATAAATACATATACACTTAGTAGAACTATAAAAATATGCATGAAATCTGGGCATGTTATATACCTCTATGGCGGGAGAGGGGACTCCATATCAATAACATTATACTTCCTCAAATACTTGTGGCAAATATAGCACAATATTACATCTATTTAAACTAAGTAGTGAGAACAGAAATATCAGAAATGTACATATGTTTTATTTTTTAGTATGTTTAAACTATTTCAAAATTTTTAAAATAAAATTTAAAATAAAGGAAAATTGTTACACTACAAATATTCACAGTTGAGAAATGGTGTCTTTATAGAATAATGATATTTTTGTTTAAATAAAATAGCCACTTATTTTTATTTCTAATTTGAGAGAAAGTTTCTGCATTGTTACATTTCCCAAAGTAATTAACTTTCTTTATACAAGTCTCTGGTCCAGATTATTTTGTCTGAAAGCAGGGGTCCTTAAAAGCAGATCACTGCATTTGTTTTCACCATATCATATAACCTCAAGTACAAATCGTAAGTAAAGTATACCAATGAACATGAATTAGTAAACTTTAACACTCTGATTAACTAGAATGCCAGGTAAAGAAATATCCTAACTAAATAAATTGTCTGCTTAACCAAAAATTTCAAGTCTTGATCTTCAGAATCAATCTTAAAATTTTCTGTGTCATGGACCCCTTTGACAATGTTCTAGGCTAAACTGTTTCTCCCTAAAATTCATATGTTGAAGTCTTAACCCCTAGGATCTTAGAATGTGGACTGTATTTGGAAATAAGGTCTTTAAAGATGTGATTAAATTAAAATGAGATCATTAGAGTGGGCTCTAATCCAATATGACTGGTGTCTATCCTTACATAAAGAGGATATTTGGACACATGTGTACACAGGAAAGACCATGTGAAGACACAGAGAGAAGATAACCATTTAGGCCTCCGATGAATACAACCCTGCAGATAGCTTGACCTCAGATTTCTAGCCTCCAAGACTGTAAGAAAATTAATTTCTCTTATTTAAGCCACTCAGTCTGTGGTATTGTGTTATCACAGCCCTAGCAAACTAATGGAGACAATTTTGGAAATTCATGCATGTCTTAAAATAGATTACACAAGAAATTAGTTATAATAAAATACAGTTCTATCCATGGACTCCTTGGGGAGGCCAAGGACCCCATTTTTACCCTAATTTACCCTTTCTTAGGTAATCTGCTCCACTCCTACAGCCTCAACTTCTACCTAAATGCTAATAATTCCAATCTCAGATCTCTCTTTCAAGCCCTCAACTTTGTCTAGATCCAGAACTCAAATTTTTTACTGTACATCAACATCATTTCCACCTGATGTCCCATGGGTACCTCAAATTCAGTATTTCTGAAGCACTGTCTTTTCCCCATCCGGCCTAATCTAATCCCAGCATTGCTTATAGGTTAGTAGCCCCAGTCATCAGAGTCAAAAACCTCTGAATTTTTTCCAAATTGTGAACACCTTCATATTTCCTACCAGTCATCAATTTCTGCCAAATAATTCTGTTAAATATTTCTCAAATCCCTTCCTCTTTAATACCATTGACACTGCCTTCAGTCAAGTTCTTTTCCCAACAGGGAACTAATAACTACAATTTCCTACAGGTATTACACTTGCATCTCTTAACCTTCTCAACCCTTTTAAACTGCTGCACTGTGACCTTTCAAAATTGTAACTGTGAACAAACTCTTTCAATAAAAATAAAGGGAAGAATCATTCAGTATTTCTCATCACCTACAAGATAAAATTCAAATCATTCTACCCAGTTCCTATTCAAGGCCTAGCATAATCTGGCAGCAGTCTCAATTCCCACCACACTAGCATTATTGAATAACATGTGGTCCCTGAAAACACCATATACTCACTCAGCTAACCTTTGCATATGCTGCCCATCTCCACTCCTCTTCCATTACCCCCAGTGCCTCACTTGTAAAGTCTCGACTGCCCCACACTGAGTTAATAACTTTCTTGTCTGTTGCCTTTATATCTTCTACATATTGTCATTACTTAGTATACTTCATTGAATGAGTTACCCTTTCACATCAATATAAGAAACTATACACTACAAGATGCACCATTATTTCATGCACCACTAAGGAAAAAAACATGCTACCAATTAAATTTTGCCATTCTATCAATATTAAAAAATATTCCAACTTCAGCTCTTTTACATGTGTGGAACAATGTACAACTAAAATAAAATATGGTGTCTATTTACTTAACTCACTCACCTACAAGACTTAGAGCTTGAAGTCAGAGGTACATAACCAGCACTCAAAAATTTCTTTTGTTAAACAATAAAACCTAACAAATCAGTTATTTTCCTGTCTTAATTAGTATGGTAAACTGGGAATAGTGGAATTTTCATTTGAGTAAGATGCTTTATTCTTAGAATTTTGCACAGCTGATTTTCCCATTTTTCAAGGATGGGAGATATGTCTATTTCCTGTATCTTGTTTTGTTAAAAACCAAGCACCAAGAAATCTCAAAGAGGAGAACGGCAAATGGAAAACAGAGGCTTAACATTATCTCCTCAGAAGTCTAGATATTTAAAAACGAGGATGCAAACTAATGGACAAAAACTCTCAAGGGTTTATTCCCTTTTCTATTAAAAATGCTGCTGTTTTCATGTTTTTGAGGATTTTGATGTTTTCCCCCAGAAAAAATGGCTTCCGGGTGTAGGGGTGATGTGATTTTTCTGAAAAAGCACAGAGCAATGGTCACAATCTTTTAATCTGGTCTTAAAGCATTCCAATATGCTAATGAAGGCTAATGACTTTGGAAAGAGGTGGGGAGATTGTTTTATTATTATTATTATTTTTTTATATGAACAAGGGTGCCCCGATTTATGGGGAATGTGATTTTGAGAAATTTTTAAGGTTAGAGATTTAGGGATGCAGAAATGATGAAACTGACAATTTATCAAAATGGGCGGGTAGTATACCTGTTTATTGTTAACGTTATCATGCAAAGGAGTATGAGGTAGAGGAGTACCATTAAATGTGATCGCAGAAACAATGAAACCAGTTAGACCCAGAAACCAATTAGAAAGTACAGAAATCTAGATGAATTATGGATTATACCTAAAGCTAAAGATCAGTGTCAGATCCAGTCAGAAATAATCATTGGAATAAGAAAGCCATAAATTAAAATTTTTAAACTACGAAGTTCTTTTCAATAAGCATACAAATTAAAAATACACTTTACAAATTTAATTACACAAAATTTAGGTGAGAGTTTTGGTTGCTTTTCATAGTAAACCCTTTGGAAAATGTGACCTACTATAAATACTGGCCATACAGTGGTAGCTCAAACACAAAATCATATACTTACTTTTGTGAGTTTTAAATACTTCACATGTGAGATTGGCTTTAAGACCTATTCCTCTACATAAACAAATGAGAAACAGGATGTTAATTCTGAATACCTAAACTATACATGAACATGTGTGGTTATATACTTGAAAAACAATATATAGAAAAACAACCCCAATACCTTTTTTTTAAACGGTAAAAGTTTTTACTGAAATGCCTTTTCTTCATTCGAGATTCTTATTCCCCACTTACTAGGAAGTTATGCAACTTTAGGCTGGTTACTTAATCTTTTCTATATCTCATTTTCTTCTTCAATAAAATGGGGATAATATTATCATCTCCTATGGTTGTTATAGATTAACTGAGTACATGCGTGTATTAAATCCAATGCATTAAAAGACTCTGTAACAGTTCCTGTTACATAGTATACACTCAGTAAATGTTAATTGCTGGCATTATTAGTATTCATTTCTACCTTAATCACATTAAATAATGTCTTGTAAGGAAATACTCAATGGACAGCCTCTAGGTCCTTGGATGGCTGAACCCGAAGGTCAAAACAGAGTCAACAACCTCCAAGAAGTAAAGATACACATATCCAGTTTTTCTGTCAGGATTGCATCTTCAGATGGGGAAGAGGTAAATCATGAGGATCCACTAGGCTTTGTCCAAAGTAAATGGGAAATTACCGATTCTCACTTTTAAGAAATCAAAACCAAGACATAAATGGGGGTAGAGGGTGTGAGGGTCAGCCTACTGTCTCAGAAGAGATTCAAGCTATACTCCAAAATCTAACAAGTTTGAAAAATTTATTTTTGTCTCCTACCTATAAAATGCCATCCTCTTCAGAAACAGCATACTTACTAGTTAACAGTAACAACAGCAACACTTTGGATTTGTCTTATTGTTCTCTAACTCATCAAACACGAACACAAAATTTGAATCATACACATCCATGCTTTATCTAGGTAATATGTAAAAATGGAGGCTCTGATTCAGTAAATTTACACTGGGGTTTAAGATTCTGCATTTCTAAAAAGGTTGCTGGGGATGCCAAACTGTTGATTCCCAGACTTCACTTCTAGTAGTAAGGGAGGTATTATCTCATTTAGCCCACCAACCACCCACTGAGTAGGAATTATCAAGAATAACTTTCTCGATTGTGCTACTAGTGTGCCTTCTATATGTTGTCCTTACTAAACAGTTATTAAATGAGTTACCCTTTCTCATTTACATAAAACGTTATAAGATGCACCATTATTTCATGCACCACTACTGTGAGTTAGCAACTATAGCATTATCTCATTTAAACTTCACAACCACCCACTGTGCAGGAACTCTCATTCCACAAATGAAGAGCCTTAAGTTGAGAAAAGGAAAGTCACCTGCCCAAGGCCAAAACACTAAATGAATGGTGAGGCTGATATCACAACCCAGGTCTGCGAAACTCCCAGGCCATTTTTAGCACACCACAATCTACTCAAGGAAAGCATCCTTAATTTACCTGTGTTCCTAAATGAAGCCCGAATAGTCCCGAGCACGACTATCTTGGAGAACCCCCAGTCAACCATTAGGCAGCGGACGGAGAGGACGCTGCGTCCTGAGTGGCCGCCACTCTTCCAGTCGGTTCTACCTCTCGCGCTCGCTCTGCCGTCCACGGGACTTTGCGGAAACCCTTCACCCACGCTTGCAAACTGCTGGGACCTCCCAAGTTTAAACACGCGCGCGCACACCGCGGCAGAGCCGAGTTATGGAGACACTGGAAGAGATGCGACCCTGGGGCCGATCACTCCAGCCGGGCTCGGCGGGCCGGCCCCCTGCACGGAGCTGCCCTCCTAGCCCCGAGGCCGGCGCGCTCCTCCGGGGACCCGGGCTGGACGGGGCCGCAGGAGGCGGCGACTCTGGGCGCCCCAGGCGCTCCGAGAGCCGGGTG